TTAATTATTAGTTTAAAGTTTAACACGATACCTATATGTTAATTAATATAATATAAATCGAAACATTTTTTATATTATTTTTAGCTTTTACTCAATACCACATTTGGAATTTAAGTATTCCAAAATGTTTGGAACTTCTCAATATTTGCTGTGTTCAGCTACATTACTGTTATCGTTTCTCGTTACTACTGCATCAGCTTTAAGTAAGTATACCTACCTGCCTATTTTATCTTTGCCTTAAACTGGATAAATATTTTGGGTCAAGTCATCCTAGCCCCCACCTAATTGCGCCTATAAATATCATTTATTATTATAACTGTATGTCTGTATGGACTGTATGTACTACCTACTCGTATGTTGTATTCAGTTATAGATAACGYTTTGATCCATTTGAAATGAATGGGAATTTCATTMATTTTACAAAACAGAGTCTTAACAGACATATAATATATTTATAGTAGGTGGTATATGAATAATTGTAATCAGTACTTATTAAATATAACGTCATTTGAGGGGGAGGGACCAAGATTAGGTAAGGTTACAACTTCAGCTTGTAAATGATTATACAATTTTTAGTAAGTATAACAATACAGCRRGATAATAATTTATAATAATAAAAAAYAATCAACAAATAAAATAATTTAGATAAAATATCGTTATGTGATATTGTCAAAAATTTGAGATAGGTAGTTTAAATTTATTTGCCAATACTTTTAAGTATTGAAATTACGGTAATTTGAGTGAAACTTACCATGTTGAACTACTGATATCGAATATATACGACAATAAAAGAGTCTTTTGCTGATAAGTGATCGAMAAGATTATTGCGTTCGACAAACTAATCTGTCTGCAAATATATTGTATGGATTGAAAAAAACATTTTTAAATAATACGAAAATCGATCAAATAATTAATAGTACATGTACAATTATCAATATTTTAATTAATATCTAGGTGTTCTAGGCAGAGAATTTAAGACTTAAGTAGACCGGTGGTCTCAAACTCAAATTAGCAGTGGGCAATATATTATTATAGATAAATCAAAGGTTCACAGGCAAAACATTTTGAAGACTTTTTTTCTATCTAGTATCTACATCAATGGAGACAAAACATCTAATGTGATTATTTTAGAGCATTGTAATTACTACTACTACTAAATGATAAAAATGGTCTTTCAGATAGTTAGGAATTATACTTATTACGAGCGATGTAATATGTAAAAACAAAACATCACAAATAAGTAATAACAAATACTGCAGATAATTATCGATTTAAATACAAACTAAAATTTTTGACGTACATTAATAATGAATATGTGGCTTGGTGAGGCGCGGTCGTACGCTCAATCTGCGGAAACGCACTGAGCGTACGTACCGGCCGCGGTTGCTAGCTCCCGGATGGGTGACCACCCGGGATTTTTAGCAACATATCCTTGCCACACATACCTACACAAACACGTGTTACAACCCTACCCACTTAAAAAACCTACGAACAAACATACAAATATATAAATACCCTGCCGTGCCACCCCACACCCAATGGCCTATGTTGCCGCGGGTTCTCCTTACAAAAAAAAAATAATGAATATTTATTTATTTTTTGAACTATTGCGGGTCACATATGGCCCGGCCACGTTCCAYGTGTTCAAGACCACYGAAGTAAAGGCTTCAAGTTAAAAAAAAATCACCAATACCTACTTGAGAGGCAATTTAATAATATCATAGTCACCTTAATCGCTTTACTCATTAGGTATTACTTTCTTACTTATAGTTATAAATATAACAAGCGTTTCTACAATAATATTGCATGTTCAAAAACAAAAAAAAAAAAAATTAAAAAAAAATACAACATTTTTATAATTTTCTAATACAAATAATAATTTTTATAATTTTTATTGATAAATCGCGTGTTACGCGCGGTTTTGCAAAATTATGTATATTTTTGCTTTTTCTGCAACTACTTTGTTTAAATTTCTTGATTAATATTATTTAATATTTCTTTACTTAATGTAATTTTTTTTAATAAATAGTTTTAATTAAGTTTGATTATCATGTTGAATGAGTTTAATTGTTATAAATTTCACACGTAGTCACAAGGCACTTATATCAATGGTTTCATTATGTAGATATATACTTACCGATTACGAAACAAGTTTCGTACCTAGTGGCTAGTATTAAATACCTATTCACGAAAAGTTATCTACTAAATATTGCATTATTGTGTAATTTTTATGCATTATGTCCGAAATTAAGTTCAAAATTGTGAAATGAATTAAATTTGATCATAACGTCAAATGGACATATTATATACTAGATCCAATAAATTTATATAAATATAATTTTTAATTTATACTATATATTTTAAATAATGTTATTCTAGTTCAATCACCACCAAATATTATTAAAGAGCCTTCWGTTTTTGAGCTATTATTTCAAGTRGCTACTGATCAATATTCTAACGATAAACCATTTATAATTGATTGTGAAGCAGAAGGAGAGCCTGCTCCAAAGTATTATAAATTTTTTARATAATAATTGTGTGAAATTTGTTTTTGAAAAAATAAAYCGTTTTATGAAAGATATCGATGGATGAAAAATGGTAAGAACTTTGATTGGCAAGCATATGATGACAGAATATCTCAACAGCCAGGCAGTGGTTCGCTCATAATTATCAAGCCTAGAGATGAAGATTTTGGTACCTATGTTTTTTTTTTTTTAAATAGTAAAAAGCTTACTTTTTAAATAATTCTTGATTAATGAAAAATTGTTTACAGGACAGTATCAATGTTTTGCTGAAAATACTTGGGGTATAGCTACTTCTAAATCTGTGATGGTTGTAAAGGCTGAACTAAACTTATTCAACAATGAACCTAATCTTTATATTGATGCTCCAGAAGGTGAGCCATTTAAACTGAGTTGTCATCCTCCGACTGCATGGCCCAAGCCAATTGTTAATTGGCTGAAAACAGTAAAAGCTCACAACAATATTATTTATCAATTGTATTGATAGTATAAATTATAGTTAATGTTTATATGTTATATACATTTAGACTAAAGATGGAACGTTAACAATTGTTKACAACAGTAGAATGACGATAGACCCAGAGGGTAATCTTTGGTTTTCATATGTAACGCAATCTGACGCTAGCTTCAAGTATTATTGTTATGCTAAATCAATGATAATGTATGAATGTTTAAATACTCAAATTAAAATGTTACATTTGAATACCTAAATTATTTGTATTTATTAGGAATGAATATAAATATGGTGATCCTGTAAATATAAATGTTATTCAAACTGTTGGGACATTTTTAAAAAACAAACACCCACCTATTCAACAATATGTCACCAGAAGGAATGAAGTAGCAGTGTTGAATCAAAAAGTTGAATTGTTTTGTATTTATGGTGGAACGTATGTAATACTATACCTAACCCCTAACCTAACCTACTTAATATATTAATTACAATAATTTAGTCAATAAATATTTTTTCTTCTACTTTAAACTTACAGTCCATTGCCCCAAACGATTTGGTTCAAAAACGGAAAGACCATACAATTYAATGAACGGATTACCCTAGAAAATTACGGAAAAACTTTGATTATTAAGAACATAAATTTTGAAGATAGAGGAAAATACACATGTGAAGTTAGCAATGGCGTGGAGTTACCCGAATCGTATAATATTGTGCTCGATGTCTTGGGTACTGCAATAATATTATATTTAAAGTAGCTACCTTTACACCTATAGCCATTTTATGAACAATATTATTGTAATATAGGTAGGTATAAATGTATACTTATGTACTAAATACGATTTAATTAACAGCTGTCCCGGTTTTCACTGTAATTCCACAAATTGTGGAAAGAGGYGAAGGAGAAACTGCAGTTGTTAAATGTGAAGCAAGTGGCAATCCACAACCTTCGATCAAATGGATTCATAACGGTCGACCACTAAGTGAAGCATCGCCGAACCCAAGACGCTCTGTCACTTCAAATTCTATTACAATCTCAGCATTGACCAAAAACGATACTGGAAATTATGGTTGTAACGCTACGAACAGTATTGGATATGTTTACAAGGATGTTTATATTAATGTATTAGGTGTATTTTGACGAATTATTAATACGCATTATTAAGTTATAAATTATAATATTAACAACTATTGTATAATAATAGCTTTGGCTCCTGAAATCGCTGAACCTTCACAAAATGTAAAAACTTTTGAAAGTAGTACTACAACTGTAATCAGATGTAATCCATCTGGAGTACCTAAACCACATACAAAATGGACAAGAAATAATATAGAATTAACTGGTGGACGATACACAACATTGGATAATGGCGATTTACAAATAAGGTTAGTTATGAAATGTTTTGGATATTAATTGATGAATATATAATATTTAAAGTATTTTTATTTTAGGGAAGTTAGTTTTACTGATACCGGAATTTATACTTGCATCGCTACTAATAATTACGGAACGGCAAATGCATCAAGAACACTTACTGTTAAAGGTACATAACTTAAAGCGTGTGTATATATACTATATTTGAGYAATACCTAATACAATTAAAACAACCAAATGTTGTCCGTAGAACATACGAAAATCATCACTGAACCTGAAGACAATGTGGTTATTGCTGGTTCAATGGCGACATTTTATTGTGCAGCAATTGCGGATCATTCTCTGCAGCTTGACATCGTCTGGTTGGCCAATAATGAACCTATAGATTATGACACCCAACCTCGTTTTGTTAAAAATAATGATCATTCTATGACTATAACTAAGACTATTGAATTGGACTCTGGGATTTATACATGTTTAGCTAAAACTGAGCTGGATCAAGTCTCGGTTAACGCCACCCTTATTGTTCAAGTATAAAGAACCATTATTTATGYCCTATGAACAAGCTCATTATGACTTATGAAGTATATTCATATATATTTTATTTTGCAAAACATTTATTAGGATAAACCAAATCCACCAACAGTATTGGATATTAATTGTAATAAAAAAAACGCGGTTGTAAAATGGCAATCAAACGGAGATAATCGTGCACGAATCATACACTACATTGTTGAGTATAATACCAGTTTTGATCCTGGCACCTGGTTAGTTGCATCAGATAATGTACCTGCATCTAATTTCGAGTTAACTGTACCAATGACACCGTGGGCAAATTTTACATTCCGTGTGATTGCGAAGAACAAAATTGGAAAGTCGAATCCATCTTTACATTCAAGGGTTTGTACCACACAGCCAGATGTACCTTATAARAATCCAGAAAATATTGAAGTTTGTAGTTCTAAACCGTCTAACCTTACTATTAGCTGGRCAGTAAGTACAATAATATRTTTAAAAAGAAATCGTTTGATGACATTTAAAACATAACATTTTATAATATAAAGCCAATGCCAAAAATCTGTCATAACGCTCCTGGCTTAAGATATCGAGTTTATTGGAAACAAAATATGCYTGGCGAAGTCTGGAATTCAAAAGAAACAGAGAATTATACTACAAATGAATTAGTTATCCTAGATCAACCGACAGACAAACATTATAAAGTAAAAGTAATTGCATTTAACGTAAGGGGTGAATCTATCGGATTTCAAAAAGAAGTTATTGGACATTCAGATGAAAATAGTAAATTTTCATTAATTATTAGTTCACTGTTATTATTTTTATCATAACTGTCTTAAATTATTGTACAGTTCCAGTTGATGCACCTCAAAATCTAACTGTTTTAAATGTTACTGGTAGTAACAGTGCTATATTGAGTTGGGAAGCTGTTTCGCCCGAATCTGCTAACGGAACCTTTAAAGGCTACAAAGTAAATGTTTATATCTGTTTAATTTATATATTATATTCTTTTATATACCTATTTAAATATTTAAAATAATTAAATGAATTTAATTAATGTAGATCCAATTTTGGAGTGATAGAGATGGGGAAAATAATATGATTGAAGAGATAGTTAGTTTAAATAGAACAGAAGTTGAAATTAAGACGTTTTTTCCTAATGCTAAACATTTYGTGCATATTTTTGCATACAACAACCATTTTAACGGACCACGTAGTAAATCAATATCTTTTGATACACCCGAAGGAGGTACTTAATTTATTTTGTAGGATTTATTAATTTATGCTATTTGATTTAATATTTGTTGGTGTTATATTTTTAAGATTCCTTCTTTGACTTGTATCAAACCATACCTATGTAATAATTYGTATACCATTATACCAAAGTGGAGTTATAAATTCACATTGGCATGTATACAAATTACTAATTAGAACAACATTTTATTTGTTTAAGTCCCTGGGCCAGTTCACGGAGTAGAGGCTGAACAATGGGGCTCTTCAGCAATTTTATTAAGTTGGCTACCACCAGACGAACCGAATGGAGTATTAACAGGTTACGAGATTTCTTATGAATCAATGACTCAACAAGGCGTAGGAGAAAGGGCGAAACGCCCGTCCATTACCGATCCTAAACAGACTACTGCCAAGTTGGCTTCATTAAAACCATCAACTAACTATCGAATTTACATCCAAGCTACTACAAAAGCTGGTGTTGGTAAACCGTACGTAATTATCAGTTCAAGTATTTTATRTTATGAATATAATATATTATATTTAAMATATTTTATCCATTTTTGTCTCTCAATAGATTTTTTATTGAACAGCAAACCAAATCTCCCTTACCAATAGACACTGAACTGGATAAGCCAGAGTTCAATTATGTCCACAAAGCATATAATAAATTGTTTGATACAGTTCGTATTATCTGGAAACCAAGCCTTAATAGAAACCCTGGATCTCACTTCTTTGTGAAATACAAGTAAAAATACAAATTTTTAATTATTGGTACCTATGTAATATATATGTACGTATAGGCTATATTGCTTTATTCGGAGTGTTATAATATTATACCAATAATGAATAAATAATRAGTTCAGTAATATCAATCACACGTTTTAAAAGAAAATGTAAAAACGTTCAATTCTAAAATTGTATTTTTTAATCTTTTACGAGTTTTAAGTATTAATGAAACCAATCAAATAGTAATTCATATATTTATAATAGGTACTATATCTCTAAAACACTTTAAAAAAATGTACTTATAAGTTTCATCAACGTTTTTTAAAATATTTCAAAGTTCAAATTATAAATTATTTTTATTATTATTAATAAAGCTACTAATATAAAAATTATTTTAGCTCAACAATTACAAATAAATAAACAATAAGCCGATGTATGAGACAAGAGCTAAAATAAACAAAGGAAAAAAAAAGAAGAAATGAACAATAAGCAAATTAGTAGGTACTTATAATAGATTTAAAGAACATATTATAACTAATAGTGTTGCAAGTTGCTGTAAATGGCTGAAACCTAAAATAATAAACAGAGAAAAGAAAAAGAAAGAAAAAAATCAACAAACATTTGAATAAATTTAATACAATTTAATCAAATTAAGAATCCAGCATTTTCGAAAAACTTCCTTATCATAATAATAATAGGTCATGAGAATGAATTAAGAATAATAAATTGTAGGATCTAATGCCATAATATTATACTATATTTTATACTTATGCAAAGAGCGAAGTAAATTTGATCGGGAAAAATTATAGATAGGTTAATTATTAATGTTCAATAATGGCTTCATAGATAAGAGCAATAAATGATGGTTTAAATTATTAGAATAAAATTAGTAATTACATATGTAATAACTCCTTATAATGTATCTATCTTAGATGCATTTTTCAAAAAAATATTAATACTTTTAAAAATCATAACAAACTTTATTTAAACACGAAATAATGTAAGTACCTAAAGTCCTAAACATAATTAAAACGTATTTGTAAATAATTTTAACTAATAAGTAATTTTATAGGCTTGATGGTGATTATTTGTACGAAGAAACTAAACATGAAATCGACAAGAATTTTATTGATGTAAAGGGTTTGAAACGAGGACAGTTGTATGAATTTATTGTAGTTGTTGTAGATGGATATACCATAAAAGAATCAGATATTGTTGAAATTGAAGCATCAAGCAATGTAGCTGGTAACTTTTTATTACTTCATCTTTATTAASCTTTTGAATTATCTCATAATATATTTTTCATTCGATTAAAATTTCCATACTTATTACTGTTAAAAAAACTCATTTGAATGAAAATTTGTCACCGAACTACAGGGTAATAGATACGGGACTTTTAATTACCTGTGACTATATGTATAGCAGAGGCGCCGACTTTTAGATATTAGCACGGGGGCAAACTCTTCTATTAAGTGAAAAAAAATTATATAGTATGCTGTAGTTTGCTTACCGGGAGGAGTAATTACCAAATTGTCCCTTAACTCTATTTTAATACTCCTCTAGGGTGCTATAAATATATTTGTTTATAATTTATGAATAATATTATTTGAATTGAAAATTTTTAGTTTATATATTAGGTACTATAATGGTAATAAAATCAGTTCCGTCTCTATATTTCGGGAAAAATTGAADTGACAGATGTATTTTTAGACAAAATATAAAACCAAATAGTAGTGAGCGTCGAGCGATCTATAGTATTTAATATTTAGGTAATATACAAATATACAATCGTCAATGTTCTAATGAATATTTTCATGTTATAATCTGGTATTTTAAWCAAATAATTATTATTGTATACAACAGGGCACGGGGGCGAAATAATACTTTTGCCCCCGTTAAATCAATGTACGGACGCGATCGCCCCCTTTGCCCCCGCGGAGTCGGCGCCTATGCTATATAGTGATAAATTTATTAAGTGTTAAAAATAGTTAAATATTATTCATTTGTAAATATTCGCACTATTTTATCTATAGGTATCACTGCGGAGGATGAAGAAACAACTGATAATTTTTAAATCCATTCAACCTGAAATCAATTAAAAAAACACAAATATATTTCAATTCGTGGAATATCTAAGTGATTTATAGTCGCTTTAGTGGCAAGAATATGCATAACAAGCGACCTGCCATTGATTGATTATATTTTAAAAAATATTCTATACATACTTAACCTATCGGCTATCAACCTATTACCTACTTTTGTAATATTAAAATAAATTCTTGTATGTTGGCGAGCGCAGGACATCTAACTGTATTTATAGACTATATAATGATAAACAACATTCATGAAATCATGAAAATAGTAATTTTTAAGGACTCGATTAGGTTTGTGCACCATAAACCTACTTTTATGGGAAATAATTTCAAGGTCGATTTTATCAAATTGTTTTAAATTTTATGAGCAGGTTTGATGATACTCAGTAGGGCCTACCTATTTGTGACTTTTTTGTGCGTTCATACATATTATTTCCAAAAGCGATCGGCTTAGGTACTGCGRTATGTAGCTGCTACCTATACATATAGGTACTGAAAAAAAACTAAAATATTAAATGTAATATGTATAGGTGTTTGGTATTCAGTCTAAAATATTAAGATTGGAAAATTATAATATTATCATTGGTCGGTAATGTCTTCAATGCCCAAAAATCATATATTTATAAGTAAGAAAATATTGTAAAAAAAATGTATAGGTCTTTTGCACTAGAATTTCGTCATTTGATGACGTTAATTTCCTAGAATACTTTTCTTAACATAGTTCAGGGTCGCAATTTTTTTATATGTTTATAAAAAAACAAAAACACTAAAGATGATGAAGCCTTTTTTCCATTTCACGCAACAAATACTTGAAATACTTAATACTATTCAATAATCATAATAATAGTAGACTTTTTACATTGTACATAATATTTTATTTATTAGCATCTCGTTTGTGTATAAAAAAATAAAATGCATTTGTAATAAGTTATAAAATATGGATACCTCGAACCTATATTTTCCACTTATATCAACTGGCGACTATACGGATGGAAGACAATTAGACAATAAAACACAATAACCAACTCAACTGGTCATTGATGACATTGGCAAGTCAATGCATTAGATTTCAACGTATAGGATGGCCATTTATTTATCATACCTTTTAAAATATTATATGTAAGAGAGCCATAACGAAATAGACCATATTTGTTGTACAATTTTTTTTAAGTAGTTATTAATAGACAAAACTACCTATGTTTGAAGCTTCATAATTTATAATATTTATACGTTATACCCTTAAGATGTCAAACCCTCAACTGTCTTCACTGTATACAAATTTATACACTCAAAATTTCAGGTTTAGCTTTGTTAGTTCCACATATGCTATAATAATAAATTAATAATGCTTTTATTCGTCTCAAAATGCAAATTTGAAGATACTTTAGTTTATAATTATACATATGTGTGATAATACTTCCTATATTCCTATTTAAAATTATTTAAGCATTGTAAAGATTACATTAAAAAAAAAAAAAATTTATAGTCTATGAAATATAAGCATTAGTTCAACTTTACAGCAATTTAAAGATAAGAATAATTTTGGTGGGTCTACATTTTCTAGAATAATTTTAATATAGGATTTAGTCACTTAAATATTTTAATAAATTTCAAAATTTAGTAAACTTTAGAGGGGGCTTAACTTAACTCTCTCAAGCATCCCTAAAAGGTGAGGTTTTAGTTTTATAAGTGGGAGGTATCCAAATTGTATTAGCAAAAAAAGTTCACCACATCAATTGGATGAACTATTCTATAACTATGAGCTTACACTAATTATGCTGTCATATTTTTAGTTTAACAGATACTATAAAAGAAAAAGAAAAGACAAAGGTTTAATTCTTGTTTACATATATTCAAATTTAAAAATACAGTACTTAAATGAATTACAATTTTTTTTTTTTACACAATTAGCTTTTTCTTCAAGTATCCATATTAATAATATGGAATAATTAACTAGTTTTTATATATTATTTTTAATACTTTAGAAGTTTTATTTTTTATTTATGATACAATCATTGCACGCAGTAGGACTAAAGAGTAAACATACATCAAGAAAAAATCTAAGGAAATTAAACTTTTGATTTTTGATTTCTTTTTATGAATATATCAAATTGTAGTATACTTTAAATTAATAGTTTAGTTCATAAACAATTAAGTAACTTTATGATTATAAAATATTTACAGTTATATTATATTATTAAAAATTACTTAGAAATAAATTATGTTATGATAATAATCAATTAGTTCAGTTATTTCTCTGTTGATTGTAATATGTTTGCCCATTATGACCTCTACCTCTTTTGGAGTAACCACGTCTATTTGAATCTGCAGAATCATATCTATTATACTCTCTATTATTTCCATCATACTGATTTTGGTTATTTCCATAATAATTCTGAGAATTTTGGCCCCATTGTCTTTCATTCGATGTACCTTGGAATCTATTATTATCATATCCTTTATTTTGATTGGTCCCTTGACTGTAATTATCATAYGCTCTATTCTGGCCTTCATGATTGCCATGGAAATCCCTGGGCTGATAATTGTTCCAGCCACCTTGCACTCGCCCTTGTCTATTATTTTGATGAAAATTTCTGCTTTCATTGCCGACACTGATTGATTGAAATCCATCAGTCATCTGGTAAACATTAGATCCACCTTGAAAACTACCAACGTCAGATTTTCTATATGATTGGTTGTCTCTATTTTGTGGGTTTCCACCTTGACCACCTCTACTATTGAACTGTACACCTCTATTTGACTGACTACCTCTATTTGATTGGCTACCTCTACCTCCTTGTGATTGTGTTCTTTGCTGCCAACTAGGCATCTCAGGGGGTGGTGCTTGTTGCTCATTTGGCCTTCCACCTCTATCAGGTACTTGACCAATCATAACCTTATTAACTGATGAATTTGTATTTTGAATAGCTAATGTACTAGACGTTTTTTCAATAAATGCTAAATCATCTCTAGCTGATAGAAAATCAGATGTACAAAAATTTGGTAATTTGTTTATTACATTTAGTTTATTTTGGTAAATTTCTTCTAATTTTTGTTTTTTATTTTTTAGTCTATCAGGCCATTTAAATGATTGTACTGTTACATCAAGTCTTGTTAACAACATTTTACTTCTTATGTTAAATTCTTCATTAAGAAGTTCAATACTATTATTAATGTATTTCCATTGTTCACTAGTATACGAGCTACAAACTAACGACTTTCCAATTAATGCAGATGGAACAGTTTTTAGAAGATCTTGCAATTTTGTATTAACTTTGTTGAATAAAGAAGAAGTGTTAATATTTTGTGGTGGCTTAGGAAATTTTAAAGTCATTAAAATCTCTTTAACACTTTTAGATGTATTGCTTTCAATTAATGTCACTTGCATATTACTTTTGGTATTAGTAGTGTTAGCATTTATTATTCGAGATGCTCTTAACTCACCAATCAAGTAATCTAATAAAAGTAACTTGTTTTCATCTGAATTTAAACGATCTTCAAAGTTCCCAGTAATAAGAGTGTTATAAGAACAACCAGATTCTTTTAAAAAACTACTAACTTCCAATAAAAATGAACTAGAGTCTGCTTCAGAGGTTATAGAATTTACATGTTCTTCTAGTCCCAATAGTATCTGGATTTCCTTTGTTATCCATTCAACTAATTGAGTGTACTTGATAGATTTTGGTCCACCATTAATTGATTTTTTAAATTCTTTGATAGACATGGATTTTCCCAAATTCTTTAAATCTTCCAAAATTAATGACTCCATTATTAGGTTTATCTAAAAATAAGATACATATTAATATACAATAAATAGTAAGCTCTAGTGCTCTACAGAACTTTATCTTAAGTGTAATTCTCAATTAAAATTATAATTAACCATAATATAAACTTCGTTCAATAGACAAGGATTAAAAAGAAAGTTTTAAGCCAGTCAGAACCCATGCTAAATCTATTCATATGTTGACATTTCAACAATGAAACATGATATGCCTAATATAAACATCTTTAAAACTTATAGATATAAAAAAAAATATAAATAATCTTAAACACCCTAAAAGTCTCAAGTAGTCTATTGATATAATTTTTATTGAAATCGGACAAGTAATTTTGTAGATCAGCTATTAAAGAATTGTATTTGTTACAATAAAAATATTTTTGTTTTTATCTAATATAATTTTTAGTTAGCAATACATTTTCTGAGACTGCGTGTATAGATGTTGACACATTAAACCAATATTGTCTACTATAATTCTATTAATACCTCTAATTTTATATTTTGGACCAATTGATTTTCTAAAAATACATTTCAAAAATTTGAATATTAGTCATTTTATAACAATAACAGAGAAAKTAAAATTAAATATTTTTATTGATGTGCTTAGATCAATATGAAACATTTATCTATTAAAATTGTATGTATCCTGAAATTATGTAGGTATCCTTCGGAAATAAAAAATAATAATTTGACTATAATATGGGGTGTATAAGAAAAATTGCAAACCTAATAAATAATAGGTACCTACATTAGGTACAAAAAAGACAGCTATCGAAACTGAATAGTTTGATAACAAAAATGATACAAAACTATATAGTGTAGAAAAACATAATAAATATAAAATATAACTTACAACTTATAAGCCGGATCACGTTTATTGTGTTTGTACTTCAAAAGTAATAACTAATCACAGTGATATGTGAGTGAAATATGCACTACCAATAGTAATTAGTTATTGCTTATTAATAGTGGCAAATGAACAATCAATTGAAGAGACGAAATCTTAAAACTTGCGGAACTCAATTTAGTCGTCCGTTGATTATAGAATGTAATAATATATTAAAATAATACTCAATACAATTAGAGTATAATATTTTATATGAATAAATATAATATTATAGTTAATAGTTACCTTAATAGTTAATACCTATTAAAATATTAAATTGTTATTTGTATTTTAATATAATGTTACCATCCCGGTTGCTATCAAAAACCAACCAGACGGTAAAAAATCATGAACTAAGATATTATCATAGTTCATGTAAAAAAGACAAGTGTTAACATCAGCTAGGTATGTCATGGAATATTATTTTGGTAATTTTTTGAAATCAATATCGAGATAGTATCTATCACGTTATATTCTTCTCCATGATATAGTGTTTGTTTGTGGTATTAAACTATTAACTTGATTGTAGAACATAATAATATGYCCATGTTGTAGAATAATAATCGGTTGATCTTGATTATTTTTTATTTTTTTATAATCTATAGTGTAACCATGTGTAACTAAATGTCGAATAACGTATTACTATTKACGGATAATAATATAAATATGTCAGTTACCTATGGGTTAATTTTGAATTTACTATTTTGCTTTTTGCTATTTAGTAAAAATATTTTGTAAGTTAAAGTGTTAATGTTGTTACCGATTCAACKGTGTGCTAAGTGTCGATTTGTATTTGTACGTTTTCTATTTAAGTGAAAAATATTCAAAATAATAAAATTATTTACTAGTGAATACTGAGTAAAATATCCTATTTTTGATTGTGCATTTTGTAAAAGAACACTTAAGTAATTCAATAGTGTAAGTGTATAGTGAGATAGTGATCAAACATAGAATAAATATACATTCATATCTAGTATAAATATTTAAAATTTAAAAATGGCCATAAAGAAATCTATCGTAAAGTTGTTTGAGAAGGCGGGCGAGGTTGGTTCTCAGCCAAATTTGGTGAAAATGCTTAAAGATAAATTTATTGAAATGAATTGGGTGGAATTTTTTGGACTGTTCATTGATGCAACTATGTCTGTTATAGTTGCACAAACCACCATCCATTGTGTAAATGTTAACAATATGATCAAGTTTGCTGCTCATGGTCTATCTGTATTATCTAAATACTCAACCCGGGACGGCCGTAGTGGTTTGTATTTGATATCAGAGTTTTTTCAATTGTGTCGTAGATATGGAAATGCCAACGAAAAAGCTATTAGATGGAGGTTTTGTCTATTGCTCAACCACTTGTTGAATCACATGACTTCAGAATCATTATTATCTGTAGAACTATGCGATGTTGCTACATTATTGTTGTTGGAACGTTTACAAGATAAAAAACCAGAGGTTCGAGCACAAGCTACACATGCTCTACATATGTTACAACTACCAAGCAATCCTAAATGTCCCRTCATTAAAAAATTCATGTTCCATATGACTTGTGATTCTAGCGTTGAAGTTAGGATAGCTATTGTTAAACAAATTGCAATGTTAAACAGTGTTGTTGATGAAATGTTGAAGAACACATTATTTGATGTCAATGATAATGTTAGAAAAGAAGCTTACAATCGTTTTTTGGATTATCCGTTTTTAATGTTATCATCAAAACAAAGACAAACATTATTGGAAATAGGATTGGAAGATAAAAATGAATCCATTAAATCATTAGTAAATAAACGGTTGTTGAATAGATGGTTAAATGAATGTAATTATGATTTTGTAATGCTATTAAACAACTTGGGAGTGGAAAATGAAATTATATGTGAAAAAGCTTTGAATATAATATTTGAGACCTATTATGATAGTCAAGTTTTGGATTTAATCAATGAATATTTAAATTTAGATACAAGAATGATTAAATTTGATGAGTTAACTATTGAAAAAATTTTTCTTTGGAAATGCATAGCCAAGTATTTAACCACCGAGAAAAAAATTGAATTAGCACGCAACCAAGGACATGTTGATGATGATTACATAGATGTTTTATTACCAGATTTAGTAAAGTTTTCTGATTATGTACGCGATTATTATTTTAATTCTCCAAATAGTAAAGAATTTATATTGGTACAATTGTTGGATATGACTAGTGCATTTGCAATAGACGATGTAGGGGCAGAAAGTCTAAACAAACTTTGCTTAGATTTAATATTGGATGATAAYATGTCTGTAAAACCAATCAAATCTGTGTCAGTATTGTTAGGTTTGACTTTTAAAAATGGTCAAGATCTTTTAAACTACGTTAAACAAATTTTAAATAAAATTCAAACAAAAACAATTGATGTATACCCTTTAATGGATAAAGTCGGTTCAAAAGAATTGCTTGAACATCAATTACAATCACAAACTAATAAAATTGAAGAATTGTTAAAAAATGAATCTTCAGATACAGAAGAAATAGAATTATTAATAATTAAATTGAAGAAATTAAAAAAAGAGTWTAAAGAAATAAATGTATTGCCAGAAGAAAAGATATTAGTAAATATGGCCGTGAAAAATGTACTCAAAGTCTTTGAACTGGTTTTTCAAGTACAGCAGTTACCAAAAGTTGGTGTTGAACTTTCCCTATTAACAGATATTGTTCAAAACATTGTTGTTGGATACTTGGATTGTTCAATGGTAAACGTCCGAATGGAAGCAATTCGCTGTCTTGGACCTTACTTATTGGTAAATAATGTTCCTGCAGCCAAAGTGCACATGAATACTTTATGTGGGGAAATAGCGAAACCTATGACTGATAGACACTTGTTATTCCAAATAATGTTTGAACTGTTCTTGCGTTATGATCTCAAAACTTTTGATATGAATGATGACTTGGACACAGATGAAGAATATGAAGATGAATTTTGTGTTGACAATATTTTACCATTACTAGTTAACTGTATTGATTATGAACTTGATGATAGTAGTTTCAAGTCAGTAGTTGTAAAAGGTTTTTGTGACTTATTAATATTTCAAAAAGTCAAGTCCGTCAATTTATTATCTAAACTTTTGATAATATGGTTTAAACGTTTATCACGTAGAACATTCAATATATACAACCATTTGGTGAAATTCTTTACATCTTATGTGTTTTATATTGATTCGAGTAGTAGTGCATTGGCCATGTGCTATGTTCCAGTGTTAAAAGAGATCCATGAATATGATTTAGTTGAAAAATTGGATATTAAAGTGGATGAAGTAAACTCAACTTTAATGAACCTCACTCGAGGACTCATGTACAGAAATGAAAAAAAGGCCATTAACGCTCATGGTGAGCTGGCATGTTACATACTTGATTATTTATTGGATGAAAATCAGCCCTATACGGCTATGTTAGTAGATACCCTGTATAAGTTAGAAATTAATTTTGACAATAATGACGAATTGATTGATACAATTGGCCCAAAATTGCTGCGTGTGATCAAATATATAAAACATTCAAATGATAAAAACAGTTCAAAATATTTGAAAAAAATTAACAATAAATTTGATCAAGTCCTACAGAAAAAGGAGTCTTTTATGAAAAAAAATAATAAAAAGAAAGTTGAAGCCACTGAAAAGGAAGTAGGTTCCATTGAAAAAGAAGTTGATTCAGTAAAGGAACTTGATGTCACTGTAACGGATATAGAGCAGACTCAAGGCCCTTCGACCATCAACCAAGAACCGGACGTGATAGAAGCTCATGAAGATTTGTTTTCACAAGAAAATTTAACTGTGATCAGTGTGATCCAGAGTAGTGATGAAGAAGACAGCTTAGAAGGATTCCAGACTACAAAACTGGATGCAATGAAGCGTATGTCAGAAGTTTTCAAAAGAAGTTTCAACGCAAATGTTAATACATATGAATTAACTTCAGATGATAGTGATTAATTCAATTTTTTATCATATTATTTTTAAATATTAATTGTAAAATTTGCTCAAAATATATTTTTTACTGTTTGTATTATAAACTTTTTGTATCAGATAAGACTTAAAATATCAAGTATTAGTCATCATATTTAATAATATTTGTTTCGTAATCTGATTTTTAAACAGTGGTTAAATTTAATGCCTTTTATGTCAACAATTAATTTACAATTATGTTCAAGTGGACCTAATTAAATCTTGTATTTCATTTTAAATTATTAATTAAGACTTATGTTGAAGTAATGTGTTTGAGTAAATGTTTCCATAAATATTATGTATGTTTGCTATTTCTTGAAATCAGTTTTATATACTGCTTAAAATTGAATTGTTTTAATTAAATTTTTGATCTGTGGTTTTTAAACTGGACCATAGTACGTAGAATATCTAAGGACACGYCAGGGCCATACAAATATGTTAACAATTTGTTGTAATTAATTTTGTTGGTTTCAATTTAAATTTAATAAAAACAATTTGTTCGACTTTCAATACGATGTATGTATGAATTTCTTGTCTAACTATTTTTAGCGTAATATCCACATTCATACATGTTTTCCTAGTTTTGGCTCCAACAACTTAYAAGTCATGTAATAACATTCTATATGTACAACTTTCTAGGATCTGCTGTCAGTTTTGTCAAATTRCGTACTTGGCTGATATTTTTACAAGGAATAATAAGCTTTTTATTAAATATCAATAAGAGCTACTATACATTTATTAATCATGTTCCTAAAAGTATTCACAGCAGAATTTTGGTATCAATGAGTACATTATTGGCTAAACGGTTTGATAACTGCTATATTAGSGTCATTAGTAAAGCTCAGATGCTCATGACTTGGTATATTTTTTTTTGTGGAACCAGAATTATACCTGATTATGATATAAATTTGATTCATAAAGTCTAGATTACTAATATTATGTCAACCTATTTTGCATATTTTTTAAAAAATAATTATTTATAAAAACATATTATTGGATCACCTAAGATCTTTCAAATTTTAAAATATCAAAAAATAATTCTTATACAGAGTACCTAATCCCGATACTTAAATTACTAAACATAAGTAAAATAGGTATATTACAACAATTATTATTGTTGAAGAAATAGGTATCTACTATCTATATTTAATATAGTGTATGACAAATAATTGCACACTATGACTTTTTTAAATGCATTAACATCAGAGCTAGCTCTAGTCATTAGTGATAAGACATATAAAATCTGTGAGTCCATGACAATATAATGTATATGTATAATATTATAAACTATTAAATTTAAAAATCAGCTTATTCAATAAGGGTTGTATTGAATTTTGAACCTCAAAAAATAGCAATAATCAATAATTACAAGCATTTCAGACAACAAATTTATTTAATTTCAATTTTCAAAAGGGGTTTCAATAAAATTGTAATCTATGATGATGTAATGCATTATAGTTAAGCACTAGCTATATCAGTCTGAAATTCAAAACTTTTTCAAGACAAAATTTTAAATTTGTTGTGCATGGAGTAGGAGTTTTTGATTTGTATTTATGAAATACTTATAAATACAATACACAGGAATAACATTTTTTTTTTTTTTTAACATATATTTATTATAAAATAGAATTATTAAACTTCATCTATGTAAACAAAGTTTATAGATACTATAATGTACATAAATAAAAATAGCATTAAAACGTCTATTCTCTCTATATAAAATAAAGAAGAAAATATATTGTACAGAWAAATGTTATATTGTTATTTTGGTATTTGACAGTACAGTGACAGGGCGGTAAATGCTTGTTTACTTTATTTATAATATTATAATATAATAAAATTAAATTGAAGTAACACAGAGAACAAATAATAAAGGTATACACACAACTGCACACATGGAAACTACACAGTTTCAAGTTGATGAGTTTTTCTTAATGATTAATGATTATAGTAGTAGTCTGTACTATAAGTTTATGAACAATTTATTAGATAAAATAATAATATTTTTTTTTTCATTTTGCGTGCATACAATAATAAATTACAGAAACATCAAACCATCATTATACATGTACGTCTTTTTCTAATGTCTATCTTACTAGTGTTTTTCCACAAACTCGTACAGCGTGACTGGTATATGTCCAATGAATGGTATACGGTTTTTGCGTATGGCGCGAGCAGCATGGCATGCCAAAGATGTGTGGCACAGCGGATTATGTGGAGTGGCTTTGCGCATATCACAAAAAGTGCGACCAGCTGCATTAACTGAATCATAATGTGCTCCGCCGCCCAACAGCAGTTTAATGGTAGTCACATCTTTGGAAGAGACTAAATGGAGCGGTGTATTACCCTCTTCATCRCGAGCATTAGGATTGGCGCCAATTTTGAGCAACGCTCTAAGCAACATAGATGCATCTTCAGAGCTGATGAATTGGGGATGCCGGGATGTTGCCAGAGCAGTTTTACGCGCACTGGCCAAATGAAGAGCAGTCTGACCCATGTGTCCTAAGACTTTGCACTTGTTCAAACGGTACAGCAAGCGATGAGTCAGGTGAGATTGATCATCGTTCCTGATTAATCTAAATATCAATGGTATGAGAGAATTAAAATATATTTTATTATGTATAACTGTATGAGCATGTTTGATTAAATATAAAAAGCATAAACATACTTGAGAGCCATATTAAAGAGATCCAAGGAAATGAGCAATAATCTAGGAGATAAATCAAAAGACGATGGCAGCACTTTTGGTTCACATAACTCGTTGACAGCTTTGATCAGAACCTGAATGATGTCCTCGAATGTCAGCAGCGCTGGAACTTGTCTGTAACCATTATTGTCGTTGGTAGCACATGCGTCAGACATGAAAGAGAAGAGTTCAGCAAAGGAAAAGAATGAAGAGACAGTCATCTGGTGGCAAGAYTCAAGGGAACCTCTTTGGATGTCTAAGGCATGGTTCCACAGAGATATGCACCGGGTAAATTTTCCAGCGTCAGCATACACGGCGCCTCGATATCGCACATAGTAACTGGTGTCCGGATGCGTGGGACCTAGGATCCTCTCTCTCACTAACAGAGCCTGGTAAAAAAAAAAAAAAAAAACCATTAAAAATTATGAAATTTAAACAAAGTGAGAAATCTCCAAAGACCCAGACCGACGTGAGTGGGAGTCGGCGAGGTAAGTGGAAATTACTTACTTGCATCCTCATCTCGTCGGGTTCAGACAACAGTTCATTGAGTTCCTCGTGGTTTTTCACTTCTTGAGCCCACTCGTACGCTTCGATCGGCAGTGCGTTGTCCGGCTTAGGTATGTCCAGTTCGTCGTCGTCCTCGCTGAACCTCAAATCCATGGCCTGTTTCCACAGGTCGAAACCACCGATCAAATCTCTCCTCTTGTCGATGTATGTGGCACCAAGCAATTCAAGGGCTTCGATCTTCTCTTTGCGCGACACCAAGTTGTTACTCTTGACCAGGTAATCGACGATGTCAGCGTGACCGGTCACGCACGCGGCCAACAGCGGTGTCATCCCTATCAATACGAGCAGAAAACACAAAACGAGAATTATTATTTATCACCAACTTGAAGGACGACGTGGTCGGTTCTTTTTTTGGCACTCTAATCATATTCACCCAATTGCGCAGTATTATTTTYACTGTTAAAATAATAGTGCAGCGTGTATTTTTGTAATAACATATTAATATATAATCGAGCGGCACTTACCATAAGAGTCTACCTCCATTTTGGCCCCGTTGAGTATGAGCATTTTGAATATGTCCAGGCTACCTGATTCGGCACAATCGTGCAGAGCAGTGTTGCCTTTGACGCTCTTTTTGTTGATATCAGCTTTTAAGGACAGCAAGAAGTTGGCAATTTTATAATGACCTTTGTAGCAAGCGATCATCAGGCACGTGTGACCGTGACGGTTGGATACTTCGATGTCTGTGGAAAGGAAAAATTATATGTTAGTCGAAAGCGGTGAAAATGCCATCGTCAGAGCAAAATTTAACTAAATATCTACTAAAATTTGCGTGAAACACGCGTATGACATCTTACAACTCATAAAAAGTGATTACGACGCCACTTAGCCACAATAATAGTTATATAGAAATAATTTGTCCAGGTAACACCATACGCTTTTCTCCAAAACGGCCGAGCGATTATAATTATTATTGAATGAGCGCCGTCGAAGAAGTGTTAATTATTAGACGAGGGAGAAAAACAACAGTTAATCGTTCCCGCAGTTAATAAATTTCACCTTCACGGCGACAATTAAACGTGTAAGTGTACGGCAAACGTTGCACGTACGCGGAAAATTCTATAATTATTTTTTACTTCATAATATCACATTTGTCCGTTTTACAWGTATTATTACATAAAAGATATTGATATCGTGTGCATTAATGCTGGTAAAAATTTTAAACTAKTTTTTATTTTTTACTAACCCGATTAGCACGATTAGGTTTAAATCTTAAACCAGTGGCGCACAGAGGTATTTTGAGAGCACTTGCAGTTAAAAAAGTTATCAACCCACCCATTTTTCAAAATCAAAAAACACTATAGTTAGTTCTATGCAATTCATTATTACATACTATGTTGACACCTGCAGTAATTTACCCTCCACCCCCTCCCCCCACACACATATACACACCGATAGCACTTAACTGACTGGGCGCCACTGACTTCCACTAATAACCAAGTACCATCAAAATGGAAATGGAAATTCAATTGAGTAAAAATCGAAATATTTATATTATCAGAATTTAAAAAAAAGTTTAACTGTGCATAGTATTCTGGGACAGCTACTATCCAGGAATGAGACTTCAAAAATATAATATTATGTTTGTCTTTTAATAAATAATAATAATGTTTGTCTTTTTTAACCAATATGTCGATGGAAAACACATTGGACACAGATTAATAATATTGTATTTTATTTTGAAAAAAAACTTTGTCCCGGGTTTTGTCAAAAAAATATGGTTATCCTAAGGATG